CTTCAACATGAGGGTCTTTGAGGGACACTTAAGATCCAAATGATATAACGGGCATTTCTATATTTTCTCACAACAGCAAACAGCTCTTCAGCCTTCCAGGTGGTAAGATGTCCTGGTCATACCACTGGGTCCACCCGTCATCAAGCCCTAGTGTACATTCAGTGCTTTTCAATCGTCTCATGAATTTAACAGTCTTCCATCCTTTCATCCTGGAGAATACACTGAAATGTGGGTCATTACCTCTACTTTACAGAGAAGGCAGAGAGGATATAGTGATGCTAAACAACATCACCTAAGAGTGAGCAGCTAGGATGATGTTTAATGCACAGGAGGAACCCCATAAAGGTTAGGTAAATGGCTTGGCTGAAAGTTACCTTTCTTTTATATCCATTGATTTTTTTTTTATTTCCCACATGAGGCCTCAGTCACCTCCTCCATGGGTTGTATGAACTGAAGTAAGTCCCCACATTCCTGGGGAACAGGGAGGAAGGCCTATAGTAACTGCAAAGCTAGGACAAGGAAAATGAATTCAGCCTCCTCCACGAGGCTCTTCAGGCAAGGTTAGCCACACTCAGTTTCAGACACCTTTATAGCCAGTGAAGCTTGCTCCAGAAATGGACCTCACTTTGCCACAGGTCAGAGTAGCTCCTTTCTGAACCTATGCACCTTTCTCTAACTCACTACCACTACCTTACACCAGGGACCACCATGTCCTAATTGGCCCTGCACCAGCCTCACTCCCAGCCTTACCAATTGCCGCAACAGCAGCAGCCAGAATGAGCTGTTGAAACCCAGATCCTACCAAGCCACCCCAGACTAAAGCCCTCAAAGGGCCACAGAACTGAGAGAGCCCAGCTTCACTCTCCAATCTCCTTTCTGGTCGTGCACTTGTCCTTCCAGAAGTACCTGCATTTCCTGAGAGCCCACACTCTCTATCCCAATAGCTCCTAGCAGTTTCTTCTCCTTCAGACACAAATACTATTTTCCAGGGCATAACTTCCTCTCTACCTGATCATCTTCAGATATCAGCTTCAGCTAGATGTCTCTTCCTCTATGAATTTTCTTTAACCCCTGCTCTGAGTTAAATGCCCTGCTTGGGGGTACATTTCCCCTATTCTCCCCTTAGCCTGGCACTTATAACTGCCTACCCCATGAGGGTAGGAACCTGTGCTTGTTCACCATTCTATCTACAGGTGCTCAGCACATCCTTGCAGGATGAATATGATTGTTCAACTCCCTTAGGATCTTAAAATAATAGAATTTGGGAGCTTCATAGTGAGCTTTCTCTCCCTGTAACAAACACCTGAGAAAATCAATTTATAAAGAAAGAAGATTTACTTTGGCTCACAGTTTTGGAGATTCCAGTTCATGCTTGATTGGCCCCGTTATTTTTGGTGCTGTTACAAGGCAGCACATCATGACAGGAGTGGAGCAGAAGTGCTCACCTCAGGGCCATGAGTAAAAAGAGAGAAGGCAGGGCCAGGGTCTCACAGTCCCATTCAAGGGCACACCCCCAATGACCTAAAGACCTGTTACTAGGCTCCACCTCTTAAAGGTTCCAACACCTCCCAGCAGCATCATTCTGGGGACTAAACCTTTAATACATGGGCCTTTGGGGACATTCCAGACCCAAACTATAGCAGGACTCATGGCTCTAGCACTGCCTCAAACTTACTGTTGGCTTTGAGCAAGTCACTGGACTTTCCAGGGCCTGCTTATCTATCCATAAAATGAGGAGGTTAGACAAGCTCTTCATTGTACCTCACTATTGCAGCAGGGGGTGACTCCAGCACAGGTGGGGACTAGCAGCACAGATATCAGGAAAATTTGTTAGAAGTGCAGAGCCTTGGGCCCAGCCAGACCTGCAGTCAGAATCTTCTGAGGATGGGGTTTAACGAGCCCACCCACGGGATTCTGAGCCACACTCATGAAAGCTTGAGAAGTGGGTGGATGCAATGCATTGAGGATCTCCCATCCCGTCCCTGCAGGTGGATTTTGAAGATGTGATTGCAGAACCCGTGGGCACCTACAGCTTCGATGGCGTGTGGAAGGTGAGCTACACCACCTTCACTGTCTCTAAGTACTGGTGTTACCGCCTGCTCTCCACGCTGCTCGGCGTCCCACTGGCCCTGCTCTGGGGCTTCCTGTTCGCCTGCATCTCCTTCTGCCACATCTGGGCGGTGGTGCCATGCATTAAGAGCTACCTGATTGAGATCCAGTGCATCAGCCACATCTACTCTCTCTGTATTCGTACCTTCTGCAACCCAGTCTTCGCTGCCCTGGGTCAGATCTGCAGCAACATCAAGGTGGTGCTGCGGAAGGAAATCTAAAGCCAAATGGGGCAACAGGGCTGGTGGGGCAGGGAGAGTCAGGCCCGGCTGGCTCCCCAGGTGCTGCTCCATGGGAGGTGCTGGAGAGCTCTTTTTCTTTAGGGACTGCTCAATTCCCCCCCAAGATGGGAGCACACAGTATAGGGAAGCCAGAAAGAAAAGAGCCCAGCTACAAAAACACTGTGGCTCTTCACTCTGCCCCAACCCTGCCAAGATGCCCCCATGATTGGGGCTGGGGGAAGATGGTTTTCTAAGAGGCAGCTACTGCAAGTCTTTGCATTCACTTGTACTGTAACAGCGTAAACCAGAATCAGTTCCCACTCAGGGTCAACCTGTCCACACCCGAGAAAGAGACCAGTGACTGTCGGTGTGGGGAGGGTGGCTCCAATAAAGGGTTTCAGCTGCACTGAGGGAATGCTGTGCTTTGTTTGTGTCCATAAGGTTGGTATGTGTCCTGACCAGTCCTGGAAGTACATTTCATTCCCTGAGAAGCAGAAGTGTGGAAAGTTGGTGGGACCAGAATCAAGCAGTTTTTCTTGGGATTCTACTTGCTTACTGGATAACTGTTCTGCCATGTTCATTGGGAGATTACTTACAAATGACTTCAATTGTCCCTGAATCAGATAATGATACCAATAGAGGAAAATGGTCCATGAGCTGGCAGGATGGATATACTTTAGGACAGATATACCTCAGGGCAGGGCTCAGCCTCAAATCTTTCTGAACTGCTGAGTCTTTGGCTCACCAGAGACTAAGCCCTGGCATATCTGGCCTTCCCACTTGGTATGTGCACTTCTTCATCCCTAAGAGATGTGAAATCCCATGTGTGTCTGTGTGGACTCATCATGGGGATAAAAGCAACAGAATTGACATGCCCACCTCTCTCCACCCTCCTAATGACAACAACACACACACACACAGAGCAATCTTACCATTCTTAGGACTGCTTTTCCCAAGCATGCTGTCCAGAAATTAGTCCTCAAAAAAAAAAGTAAGAATTAAAATTACAAAGTTTAGGGAGGTTAGTTTCTGTAGCCAAATTTGTTTAGAAATGCCATATATTTCTCTTGGAGACTTTCAGTAGACATTAAATAGCACATTAAAGTTTCTGACAAGTTCTGCAATAAAGAAGCCTATTTAGGCCATATTATCCCCAGCCCAGATCCTATTTAACCTCTCTTCCTTTTTCATAAAACATAATATCTCATAAAATTAAAGTTCCAAGACACTTTACAAGTTGACAGAGGCATTACCTCATTGGTGCTGGCCTCGAGCCCAAGGGGTCTTGGGAAACAGTGTGTTAGAATCAGGACACAGGAGGATTCGGTTCTAGTATCGCCTCTGTTCCTAGTTCCCTTCTCTGGCCTCAGTGTTATTATCCATGAAAATGATCTCTATTGTTCATTTCAGCTCTAAAAATTTGCCCCTGTTTTTGTTTTTAATCTAATATCTAATGTGATTTTCAAATGTAGAAAAGTTGAAAGGGTTTGCAGTGAACACTTGTATACCCACCTCTTGGCCCTGAGATTAACATTCTACTGCCCTTGCTTTATCACATTTTTATCTGTCCATCCATCCTTCTATTTATCTGTAGTCTCATTTTGATGCATTTTTTAAGTAAGTTGCAATATCAGTCTATTTTACCTCCAAACACTTCACCATTCAATCCTTTCTTTCGAAGATGAGAAAAATGACAGCTCAGAGAAGTCAGCAGACTCTCTAAAAGTTGCACAGTCAGCAGGCGTAAGCACTGTGTTCCCAGACCACTACTCTGTGCTCTGCCCTGGGGCTTGGCCACATTCTCCTGTGGACTCTGCAAGCCCTGGATCCTCTCGCTGAAAAGGATTAAGGCTGGTGTTATATCCTCCTCAAAGGATCTGCCCTTTCAAATGCCCTTCTCACAATCATTGGGCCATCAGTTTCAAATCTGCAATCTTGGGTTAGACAGAGGTTCTCACCACAGTGGTATTTGCTATAACTGCATTGGGCTATGGCTCCAATTTTTCCAGGCCACTCTTTCTTTAAGGCAGACTATGGTGCTTAATGATCCATGAGATTCGTGGAATTGGAGGAAGGATGCATATGTTAGGCATATGTACATCTGAAGAGTTCTGTCCCCTCCAGGAATCCCACTGAGAAGCAGCAGCAGAGCACAATGCGGGTATGACGAGAAAAGATTCCAGGTAGAAGGACAGAGAAGTCCCTCTTATGTTCTGTATGTATTATCAGCAACTTGTGTTTAAACTGCATGTTCTGGGGCCCCAGCTTCAGAGACTGATTCAGTAACAGGGCCCCAGAATCTTCATTTAATGCAAATCCATCCATGATTCACATGTGAATTGCAAATTCCCCTTTAAGAATTATTTGTCAAGGTCCTTTCAAGGTAACAAAACAGAATCCAGTTATCTCCAGAGTCAGACTGTGGGTCATGTGGATTCAGGTTATATCACACAAAAGAGTTTTTTTTTTCAGGGTCTTAGAGCATTTTCCAACAGACCAATACATGTACCTGGGATTCTGGAGAATGGAACCAGGACCACTTTTTGTCCCCTGCCACAACCCATGCACCTGCATCAGACAGATGACTGTGTAGTACTAAAGGAGAAATGGAGTCTAAAAACCACCAGATATGGTGCCTCTTCTTGGAGGGAGTAACAAGACAAAGCAGTGTATGAAAAAAAGATGTTTATTAAGTGCACCTTTTACAAAGCAGACATATCATGATTGGCCACATCACTCACCAGTTAGCACAGTACACAGGAGTACCACAGGAGGTCACCACAGTGGAACAAACCCAACACTGCATGTTTAGTGGTAGATCATTGCAACCGGATACAAAAAAAGAAAAACGTGAAGAACTCTGAAACCAGGATCTTCATCAAAGGCATTATGTCCCCTTGCATTTTCAGAAATGGTGACTCATAGACTCATCTCCAAAAGGAGATCACATTTGCAGAAGATTTTTTTTCAGGGACTAAAGAAATAATGCTCAGGGTCTACACATTCACTTTTGATGATGAGAACTCTGAAACACTCCAGAAGGCTCCAGCTGACTGGCACCTCCAGTCATGCACATGGTTTGTGAATTGGTCTGAAACTATAGGAAGAGGCAGGTACTGGGCAGACCTCAGGCAGGGGGTCTGGGAAAAGACATAGATAACCAAAGTCCAGGGAGCATTTTGGACCTCTGCACTCATTCTTCCAGACTTAGGTTGGAGAAAGAGACAATGAAAAATATTCTCAGGGATGAGATTGGGAGGGGAGGGTATAGATCCAGGAGTGTTGTGGAAATCAAATGTCACTTATATACCATGAAACACAGACTCTGCTATCATTATGAGAACCCAGGTACTAGTAAGGGCTTTCATATGAAGAGAATGATGACCTATTGGGTTTGATGCCTAAGATCCTCACAACTCCAGGGTTCCAGGAAGGTGACTATCCCCTTGGTCCTCATTGACCTCAGGTGGCTCCAAGGATGGCAACTTCTTAGGGAACAGCAGGACCAGAGCATCTGCAAGGCACAGACCCCACCACCACTGCATTTGCACCCCAAAGCTCTAAGACATGGGCACAGAGAGCCCAAAATAAGCATCCTGTTAGCTTCCCAAAGAGGAAGGACAGGCTGGTGTTGGCACTCTGAGCACGTGTCATAGCACCATGGTGCAAGGTCTGACTCCAAAGATGGTATTGCCCTCCATCTCCGGTTGGTACTGAAGGTCTTGTACTAAATTGTAAGAGGTTGAGCACTGGCACTTCAGTATGTGCCTCTCCTCTCCCAGAACATCTAGACCATGCTGGCTCATTTGTGTGCAGTGTGTGTGTGTGTGTGTGTGTGTGTGTGTGTGTGTGTGATGGACCTGTGGCTTTTAGAAAGTGCTCTTGCTGTATCTCAATAAATTAAAAAATGTGTATAGTTATTCAAAGGTGCCCCAGAGTGCACTAAGCTGACCAGTCCCAGACAGAAAATCTCTGATCAATACTGTCCTGTATTTAATGACTAAAGGAATTCCTATTTCTTAGACATAGTCAGGTCCTATCCATGGGCTGAGAGGACATTTGAGAATATGTTTATCAGAAAAGCAGAACCTTTGAGGCCCTTGGAGAATTGCTATTCTAAATAAAACATGACCATCTACAGCTACAAGTGTCCCCTGTGCCTTTATTAAAGCCAGGTGAGGGTATTATCGCCACCTCTGCTGTTGGCCAAAATGGAAACACACTCTCTTGCAGAAACTCGGAAGCGGTGAGTCACATAACAAACAAGAGCTCAGGGAGGTAAGAAATTCCAAGCAATTCATCCATCATGCTGGCTTTCCCTGAATTCAACTGCAGAACATTTTTTATTTTGTATCTTTTACATGTGCAGTTCAGATACACATTTTAAAAAACCCGAAAATTGGTTCTCAAAATTGTGCACCAATTCCAGACCATTTTCACCACCCCAAAAAATGAACCCAATCCTCTTTGAAGTTGCTCTCAATTTCCCATAGCTTCCAGCCCCTGAAAACCATTACTCAATAGTCAATTTCTGTAGATTTCTATAGATTTATCTGGACATTTCAGACAAAGAGGATCAAACAATGTGTGGCTTTGGGAACTGTTTTCTTTTACTCAGCATTTTTTTAAGGTTCATCCATGTTGTAGTATGAATTGGAACTTTAAAAAAATTTAATATATATTTTTAGTTGTTGACAGACCTTTATTTTTATTCACTTATCTATATGCGGTGCTGAGAATAGAATGCAATGCCTCACACGTTAGGCAAGCACTCTACCACTGAGCCACAACCCCAGGCTAGTACTTCCTTTTTATAGCTGAATAATGTTCCACTGTATAGATATACATTTTTTAATCCATTAATCAGTTGGTAGACAATTGGGTATTTTTTCTTTGGGACATTAATAAATGATGTTGTAGTCAACACTGGTATGCAAGTTTGGGTGTGTATATATATATATATCTTTTCATTTCTCTTAGGTTTAAACCAAAGAGTGGTACTTCTAGATGCTACAGTCATTCTATGCCTAACTTTTTGAGGAACTGCCAAACTGGTCTCCACCATGGCAGCATCATTTGCATTCCCACTAGCAATTTCTGAAGGTTCTACTTTCTCTACATCTTTGTCAACACTTCTTATTGTCCAGCCTTTAGACTGTAGCCATCTTAGTAGATGTGAAGTAGAATCTCACTGTGGTTTTGACATGCGTTCCCCTAATGAAAAATAATAATGTTGAGCATCATCCTTCTGCTTATTTGGGACTTGTATATCTTCTCTGGAGAAATATATATCCAAATCTTTGCCTATTTTTAAATTGGCTTCTTTTTGTTTATTTATTTTAAGAGTTCATTATGTATTCTGTATACATATCCCTTATCAGATAATATGATTTGCAAATATTTTCTCCTATTCTGTAGTTGTCCTTTTACTCTCTGGATAATTACAAAAGTTTTATATTTTGATGAAATCCAATGAATCTATTTGTCCTTATATCTTTGGAATCACATCAAAGCAAAAATTGTCTAATCCAAGATCACACAGATTTTTTTTTAGCAGGATGTAGATTTATTGTTTATATAGGGTTGCAACCAGGTAAGATCACACAGATTTATGCCTGTTTTCTTCTAAGTGTTTTATAGGTTTAGCCTTTCCATTTAGGTCTTGGATAAATTTTGAATTAGTTTTTGGTATGGTGTGGTTAAGGGTCCAACTTCATTCTTCAGTGTGTGCATATTCAGCACCAGTTGTTTGAAAAATGATTGTTTCCCTACAGAATCATCTTAGTACTCTTGGTGAAAATAAATTGACCATAAATATAAGGACTATATCTGTACTCTTTATTCTATTCCATTGCTCTAAATGTCTATCCAGAATTCAGTTCCACACTGTTTTGATTACTATAGCTTTATAGTAATTTTAAATCAAAAAGTGTGAATCCACCAAGTTTCCTTTTATTTTTCAAGGCATTTTTTGGTCATTCTGAGTTCATTGAATTTCCTTATAAGTTTTAGGAGCAGCTTATCAATTTCTGCAATGAATCCATCTAAAATTTTGATAAAGATTGCATTGAATCTGTGCAACAATTTGGATAGTATTGAGGTCTTAGCAATATTAACTCTCTGATCCATAAACACAGGGTGTCTTTCCATTAATATAAGACTTTTCTTTGAATGATATTTTGTAGCTTTCAAGGCACAAGTCTTACATTTCTTTTGTTGAATTTATTCCTATTTTATTGTTTCTGATGCTATTATAAATGGAATTGTTTCTTAATTTTTGAATTGTTCATTGGTAGTATAAAGAAATGCAATCAATCTTTATGTATTGATCTTCTGTCCTATAACTTTGGTAAACTCATTTATTTAATAGGTGTGTGTGTGTGTGTGTGTGTGTGTGTGTGTGTATTCCTTAGGATTTTCTATATATACAAAATCGTGTCATGTACAAATAGCTTTACTTCTTCCTTCCAATCTGGATTCCTTTTAGTTCTCTTTCCAAAATGCTTGTTAAATATTAGCTTCTTAAACATTTTCAAGCCAAGTTCTCATTTGTTATCTATGCCAGATGGCCTTAGAGGGGATCTCCTCCTCCAAGGGCAATCTCCTGACAGCTGGTCCCAAGAATGTTAAGATTTGTCCACTCAAAGGCAAAAACACTCTCTCTGAGGTCAGGAGGAAGTTAGCACCACCCTCACCATCTGAAGTCCCACCCCCACTACATATACCAAGCCCAGAACACCAGGTGTCTTGATCAAGTTGGTCACTAACCCCATACTTATTACCTTTCATAAGAACCCATAATAAAGGAGTAAAAAGATGCTGGAGAGGTCCAGGGGAGAAAAGTACCACCCACTGCAGAGAATAGCCATGGGATCAGGGTAACAGAAGTACCTGTGGGAGCTCAGGGTGACTATCTGATGGAGGAGTCACCCTATCATCTTCCACCACAGAAACCTCTTCCCCACCCCACACCAGTCCCCCATCACCCTCAAGCTACCCCAAGGTATAGAGGGACATGAGCTGATCAGTACCTGATACATACATGTACATGGGCCACCAAGGGGTAGACTGTGTCAGCACAACCCAGGTGGCTTTGACCCAGACCAGTGGGTCACGCTGTTGATGGCTGGGAGCAGCTCCTCTGGCTGGAGCTGCGTCGGCTCAAGACAAATGTGGAGGAGTTGCTCTTTTTGCTGACGCTAGTCTCTCCTGGGCGGCTACCCTTCAGATGGCTGGAGGAGCAGCAGAGGAAGCGCTGTACCAGTTCATGGAAGAGATGGCCTGTGAAGAGCATGTAGATCCAGGGGTTGCAGCAGCTGTTGAGGCTGGCCAGGAGCATGGCGATGATGAAGGCCGAGGCTGTGGGTGTGGGAAGAGGCAAACAGGGCATCACTGTGGGAGCCTTCCTGCACCATCTGATTTATCCATTGTTTCCTAGCAACAGCCTTTTCCAGGTACCACCACCAACATCACAAGGCAGAGCACTAAGGAAGCAATGAATGTCTTCCTTCTGAAACTTGCTCAGGGAATGCTTTCCAATCCCCCCAGGCTCACTCCACCCCTGGAACAGTCTCCCCCTTTCTCTTATCCAAAGCTTACCTGCTGCATGCCTCCATTGGCAGGAACAGTACACACAGCAACTACCTGATCATTCATCACTCACCCAGCAAGTATTGAGTCCCAACTACTTAGAAGATCAAAGAGCAAAGTCCAGAAGCTGCCAGCCCTAGTTTGCATTGTAGTCCCAGCAGTGACAAATCACTTTAGTTCCCCCAAGAAGCTTTGATTTCCTAATCTTTAAACAGGGATAATGTGAATACCCATGTCTCCTGGAAGGTGGCAAGGATTAGATTAGAGTGTGCCCAATAAATGGTGGCTGCTATCATGACAGTGTGCCAGGCATCAGGCTCAGCACTGAGGAAACACACACTCAAAACAAAAATGAAATGGGAAAGGAAAAATTTTAATCCTAGGTATTTTCAATCAGAGGAGAAAAAAATCTAGCTATTATGGTTTATATATGAGGTGTCCCCCAAAAGCTCTTGTGTTAATGTAGGAACATTCAGAAGGGAAATAATTAGATTATGAGAGCTGTAACCTTATCAGTGGATTAACCCATTATATGGTTAATAATGTGAATGAATTAGCTGGGCATTAAGTGTAGGAAGCAGAAAGAAGTTGGTCACGGGCGGTAGTGCTGCCTTTGGGGGTTATATTTTGTCCCTGGTATGTATCTGTGTGTCTCTCTGTCTCTGTCCCTGTCTCTCTTCTAGCTGAACAGTTTTCCTCTTCCATACCCTTCCATCATGATATTACCCCTGCCTGACCTCAGGCTAAGAGCAATGGAGTTGGCTCACCATGGACTGAACCTTTAAAACTGGGAGCCCTAAGCAAACTTTTCCTCCTCTAAGTAGTTCTTGTCCAATATTTTGATCATAAATGACAAAAAGGTGACCAGCACATCTAAGTTTCTTTAGATGGTCTTAAATCTGATAAACAGCAGACTTTAGCCAACAGATGAGGCCAGACCCCATGAGAAAAAACAATACAACAACATAATCAAGAATTCCTTTCACAGTCATATGTTTATGAGTGAAGATTATCAAAATAAGTCTGAGAAATCCACCAGTCTTTTGTCTTTTCTGAAAAATCTTCCAGAAATAACTCTAGAATTTAAGAGTTATATCCAGGGAAAAATTCTTCACACGGAGTTTTTTTAGTCTCCAAGCACCAAAAGGAGAAGGGCAGTGGTCCTTCTAAGACACATCCAAGGGAGTAGTTCTCAAAGTTGGGCCCCCAAAGCAGCAGCAGCTCCTGAGAGTTTGTTGGAAATGCAAGTTCTAAGACACAATTCCAGAACCACCCAATCAGGCCCTCTGGAGAAATTTGTTTTAAGAAGCCCTCTGAGTGGTTCTGATATACACCCAAGTTTAAGGACTGATTTAATTGGTGCACCTGTTGGAATGAAAACACACTACAATGGACAAAAACCAAATATGTTGCAAAACAAGATTTTTAGAAAATAAAGGAATCTAATCTTTATAACAAAAAGAATAGAAAAGAGGAAAAGACAAAGGGGGAAAAATGCCACTTTCACTGAATTCCTTGGTTTTTATAAAAGAATTTTTTAAGAATGTGCTTTTGTTTTGGATGGTTTAGAAGATGAAATTAAGTTTAGAATGTCTGGTAAAATATTTTAAATTAAATTAAATTAAAAATCACCCACAATACTAGAAATAGAATGTGTTAGAAATCATAAAAGAAGCAAAATCAACCTATAACAGTCAAAGTGTTTAAAAGGCATCAAAAAATAAACTGTTAGCCACCAAAGGAAGAATAAGGGGATGAAGTGGGACAGAAGGAAATATAAGGAATGAAGTTCACACCTGGAAGGAAAAGCCTCCAAATTTTACTTTATATGATACAAGTGAGGCGTACCTAGTAGGAAAAGAAAAATCCCAAATGCTCCAAAATCAGAAACTTTCTGAACCTGATACAATGTCACAAATAGAAAATTCCACATCGGACCTCATATGACAGATCACAGTCAAAACACAGCTGCACTAAAGCTGTCCTATGAAATGGCCTTATGTCTATCTGTATAAGTTGTAAATGAAACAAATGAACTTCATGTTTAGGCTTGAGTCTCTTCCCTGTTATGGTTTACATATGAGGTGTCCCTCGAAAGCCCATGTCTGAAACAATGCAAGAAAATTTGGAGGTAAAATGATTGGGTTATGAGAGCCTTAACCTCCTCAGTGCATTAATCCACTGATAGGGATTAATTAACTGAGGTCAACTGTAGGCAGGCAGGGTGTGGCTGGAGGAGGTGTCACTGGGGGCATGCCTTTGGGATTTATATTTTGTCCCTGGTCTGCAATGTCTGCTTCCTATTGCCATGCCCTGAGCTGCTTTCCTCTGCCATACTCTGCTACCATGATGTTCTGCTTTACCCTGGTTCCAGAGCTGTGGAGTCAGCCGCTGTCTATGGACTGAGACCTCTGAAACTGTGAGCCAAGTAAACTTTTCCTCCTCTAATTGTTCTTGTCTGGTCTTCTGCTCACAGTGGCAAAAAAGCTGACTAAAACATTCCTCAAGATGTTACATGATAGATAGATAGATAGATAGTTAGATAGATATGCAAATATTCCAAAGCCCACCCCTTCCCAAATACAAATATATATACAAAATCTGAAATACTTCTGGTTCAAAGCATTTCAGATAAGGGATCCTCAACCTATAATCTTGTCTATTTATTTAATCTATTTGCCTCACTCTTTACATTTACACCTTCTAACTTTTATATTCTTTTAAATTTGTTTTGGTACAGGTATTAAATCCAAGGACCCTTTAACACTGAGCTATATCCCCAGCCCCTTTTTATTTTTGAGTTGCCAAGGCAACTTGAACTTGCAATCCTCCTGAGTCACTAAGACTACAGGCATGTGCCACCACACTTGGCTATCCTATTTTTCAAAAAAAGAAAAACAACAGCAAGAAAAAGTAAGTAATTAATCACTATCTAGTCACATAAGCCTTTCTGTCTTCAACCAGCCAGCCTAGATGGGAGATATCTGGTTCAAGGCCAGAATCTCTGCTCCCACCTGGCAACCACAGACATGAACTAGCCTGTCCGGGACAGGCTCCCCAAGGGATGAACAATCATTGCTAAGTTGAATGAATCTACTTATGTCAAGTTACTAACACTAACAGGCACATTTGGATTTTTTAAAACTGGCAAGATCTTAATCATCCAAAGACATGAGTGCAAAGAGGGTAGAATTTGTAGTCTCCCCATTGGCCAGGAGGAGAGCTATATGGCGATAGACAAGAAGAACTAGGGAGGCTGCTCCAATGGAAGAGAGCAGCAGGAGTAAAAGCCCATGGTCTAGCAACATCCTGGGACTTTCAGGGGAATGAGAGGCGGGGGAAGAAGAAACCAGAAAGATGGTTTAGAATTCGCTGAGGGAGATGTTGAATCCAGTGAGTGATCAGGAGTCCCAGCTTTACCACTTGGTAGCTGTGTGTTCTTGAGCAAGTCATCTAACCTCTCTTGACCTGAGTTCCTCCAACCTGAAAAATGGGAAAAATCAAAATCTTCTTCACAGAATTATTTCAAGGCTCACTTAGATGGGATTCTGTTTTGGTTTGGATGAAAGGTGTCCCCCAAAGCTCCTGTGAGTGCAGGAATATTCAGAAGTGAAATGATTAGATGTGAGAGCTGTAACCTAATCAGTCCATTTGAATGTAGTCACTATAGGCAGGTGGGGCATGGTTGGAGGAGGTGGGTCCCTGGAGGTATGCCCTAGAAGAATATACCATCCCTGAGGACCTCTTTCCTCTCTTCTTCCTGGCTACCATGTATGGAGCCACATTCCTCCATCATGCCTTTCTGCCTGATGTTCTGCATCATGTTGGGCCCAGGGCAATGGACTCAGCCAACCATGGACTAAACCTCTGGAGCCTTCTCTAAATTGTTCTTGTCAGGTATTTTGGTCACAGCAATGAAAAGCTAACAGAAATCAAGTGGGGCTGGGGATTTCTGGTACTTGTTAACCACAAACAGCAGAGTCTAGGTATAGTCATTGCTACTACAGTGATGTGTAAGTGCTCAATAAATACTCTGTTCTTTCTCATTGGTAATGGTTAGCACCATGTAAGAGACGAAGAGGAGACTCCACTCCCACAGCTGGAGTGTGTCTTGGAATATGAACAGCAGGCCCCAAGTTGGGTATAGAACATAGGACCCCCTGGCTGAGCATCTGGAAACATCACTGACATATGGTGGTGTCTGTGCATTGTGGCTCCTAAGCCAGACTTCCTGGCTAAGAAGGTCAGTTTATATGAAGATTCTCACACTGGCTCAAAAGGCCCCACCACCAACACAAGCCTTAGGGTGGATCTGCCCTTTTCAGCTAGCTTGAATTTTCTGATAGGTTTAAACAGGCCGAAAGATGGGCCATTTGCAGAGAGTGCAGGGGAGATGTCTGGGCTCCATGAAGGAGTACTGAAAGTATCTCACCTGGCCCTGCAGCTTGCCGGTCCTGCATCAGTGGAGAAGTGCTGAGATTGGCTTTAACTCCCTGGTTGGCCTGGACATTCCAGCTGAGAGAAGTTGCTATCTTTTTTTTAAATATATATATATATTTATTTTTTGTAGGTGTACACAATAACTTTTTATTTATTATTCATTTATTTTTATGTGGTGCTGAGGATCAAATCCAGGACCTTTCATGTGCGAGGCGAGCGCTCTACCGCTGAGCCATAGAAGTTGCTATCTTAATAGTCCTTTTTGCTTTCTGCTTACCACATTCCAGCTAGAAGTTCCAGGGCTCTGCCACCCTCCTGGTCTTCTTCCC